CCATATATATCGGCTTTCATTCCATATATTCCGAGTTTCATTGTATATATATCGGCTTTCATTCAATTTATTCCGAGTTTCATTATATATATATCGACATTCATTCCTTATATATATATCGGCTTTCATTCCATATATATCGGTTTTCATTATATATATATCGACTTTCATTCCATATATTCCGAGTTTCATTCCATATATATCGGGTTTCATTCCATATATTCCGAGTTTCATTGTATATATATCGGCTTTCATTCAATTTATTCCGAGTTTCATTATATATATATCGACATTCATTCCTTATATATATATCGGCTTTCATTATATATATATCGACTTTCATTCCATATATTCCGAGTTTCATTCCATATATATCGGGTTTCATTCCATATATTCCGAGTTTCATTGTATATATATCAGGTTTCATTCCATATATATCAAAGATGATTAAATATTTCCTGTTTGGCTTGCCATAGTATATATATATATATATATATATATATATATAACAATTGATATTGGTGAAAGTTTTTCATCTTTTCATCTTTAATGAGTAGGACAGTTGACGTTTTACACTTTTACTGATTCTGTTATTTATTATCATTGGTTGGTTGAAGTACTCGATAAGCAGTTGGAAGATGATGGATGGAATGGATGGATGGATGGAATGGATGGATGGATGGAAGTTTTTCAAAACTTCAGAAAATGGGAGAATATATAATAAACAGAACTGCATGCTGATTTAGAACAACAGGAGTTTTAGTCTTAATAATCTAAGTGAATTTAGAATGGGTGGAAAATTATTAAGTCTTCAGCAAATATTTTGGGTTTAGAATGATGTAAATTATATTACTTATCCATGGAACCACCCAGTCAAGCAAAATTTACAAAAAGTTATATGCCCAATATCCCAGCTGGTATCTAAAACACAGTGTCTAGAATACCAGTAATATTAATATTTGTCACATAAAAAGATCATAGATAATTTAAAAAGCCGAAAACATGAGTGCTAATAACAATTTTGGTTCAAATTACCCTCATTATTTACTCTGGCTCTTTGCATCAAAATGTCATTAAGTTTATAATGTTCTGCTTGAAGTTATATTTTTAATTTTTGACACATTGGGATGTTTATTGTACTCAGTAACCTTTATCCTGTCGATGTTGGCCTCCATCTTGAGCTGCTCCACCAGTTTTCTGGCTTGGGCAATGCTGGCTGTATTGTTACTGGCCATGCGACTTTTAGGGGTGTGCTACAGCTGTATGAAGAAAAAAGAGAACATGGCACCATGAAGTGCTTAGATGGGCTGCTAAAAACAGTTTTTCTTGTGTTCGTTTGTAATTAATATTAAGATTTTATATATTCAGCAGAATGTTGGTCAGTCGGTTATGGATATGTGCTTCTGTCTGGAAAGTCATGACTTTGAAACCTGTGGTTGGCGAGCCACATCACCACTGGCCACTTAAGCAAGGCTCTTAAGCCCAACTCTTCCAGGGCCACTGAATCCTGTCTGCCTTATGCCTTGACCCCAATACTTGACCTTATCTTCATATACATGTGTGTCGATGTCTTTCATGGAGAGCAAGGTGGGGTATGAAAACTACCCAATTGCCCCCCCGGGGAAGAATAAAATAACTCTCTGTTCATATATGAACATATGTGAATTCATATTCTTCGATGAGTAAATAAAAAAAAAATCTTCATTCACATTGTTGTGAGCTATTTATTATTTTTATTTGTCCATATTTGCAATGAAATGCTTTCTGCATATTACGCTGTTTTGATATTTTTGCTTTGTCTACTTGTCTTATATTGTTACGTGTCACCAAAAATGTCATAGGTAGTAACTTACTTTAAATTCAATAATCTTGGAATTTAAACATTTTGTTGCAATTGTCCCTGTATATGTGTATGCAAGTTAGACAGTGAAAGAGGTGGATTCATATGATATGATAAACAATATTTTGATTTCAGTGGTGAAGAAGTTTGTTAGTGGATTAGCTGTGAGGTGACATTTTTCTAAGAATCATTGTACAGCATGGAGACCACGTGAAATGTTACACTTAGAGCATCACACATACTCTCTATTAATTTCTGCATAGCTGCCAAGTGACATCTTACAAAATGCAACACTTTCAGGAACATGGCATACAGTACCTTAATAATGAGGGTATTTGTCTGAGATGTCAGTGGCCTCTTCTGCAGTTAGTTAGTGCAACTTCTGCTTTCAGATCAGAATTTTCCTGTGTAAAACATTTCTGGTTAAATCACACTTTTCACTTTGGACCAATAGTTACTAGAATACACCACAGTTATATTTAAAAAGCCAGAGATATACATACACACACGCACACTTAAAGTTTATATGTTTTGTTTACATATTTTAAGCTTATATTCTTGGCAAAATTAAGCATGAGATTTGATGCAGTGGTGTCATGATTTTGTCAATTTCTTGGCAAATGTTTTTAAGTTCTAGACAAGATAATATTAGTGTAAGAAAAAAAACTAAGTAATGAAAAAAATTTGCTGCACTGATGTATTGATTAATATCATTACAAAAATGAAAATATAGGAAAATATCAGAAGAATCAATGACAGATTTTGAGGAAATACGAAGATCCCACATCAAGATGGATTTTTTAGTTTTAGTATTTTAACACTTGACAGTTCTTTTTTGAACTATTTTTCAGTATCTTCAAGCAAATTGATTATACCCTATTATTCAGGAATGCTATTAGAGGAAAAGTAAAAGAACTTTTTAGTCCACTGAAAAACTAGAAATGAAGAATCTTGAGGAAAAATGTCACTACTGGAAAAGTACTAGGTTATAAATATGAAACATGATGTATAATTAGATATGAAATATGATGTATAAAATATGACATTTCTCTATAATTATTCTGTGATCCAGCATGGATACTAAAAATACTTTATGAAAAACACTGAAAAACTTCCTTAGCAATTAAAAAATACTGGAGTTGGTACAACAACAAACTCATAGATTTTTATTGTACTCTGTTCCAAGTTTGAATATTTTAATTATAATGTGTTAAGAACATAGACATTGTATTAATTCAAATATTCTATATCATGGAACAACCCCCACCAGCAAGTCACCACTGAGGTACCCTGAGCAAGGTACCGTCCCCAAGCACTGCTCCCCGGGCGCTGAATTTGGTATTGCGCAAAAACATGCAAATTGTACTATTGAGTTAAAACTTCGTCACAGTATAGTGAATAGTGATTATTTACTGATCTTTGCTAAATCTGAAGTTTTCATCAGTGGCTGTGAGTTATTTTAAGACACTTTAGGACAGTAATGGCACAAACTAGAAGCAGTGCTGAAGTTTGGCTGCTAGGAAAGGGTACAGATCAGCTGTCCGGGTCGCATCTACCAACCAACGGAGACGCTCTTCGACTTTTGATGTTCCTTCACACTGTAGCGGTCGCGGCGTTCACTGCACGATTTCAGTAACATTTAAAATCGAGCAGACACCTTCGCCTCCACAATACACGGGACAAAACTTTCCGTACCCCAACAAGTGTTTAATATACATGCATGTTCCCTAACTACATAAAAGGTGACACAAACAAACACACAGTCCGAGCAATGAATGTACATATATTAA